ACAGTAAAAGTGGAATGTACATCTCAGCTGGCATATTAAGGACAAAGAGAACTGCAATACAAATCTTAACTGTTTTTAGTAATTCCTGTTGGTGGGATGCTGGTGTTCTGGGGCTGACATATTTATTGTGACATATAAGGCCAATGAGTAATTGCACTGGTGTTCCTGGGAAGTGAGCTGTTTGAGGGAGAGGAGTTATGGACGCAGGATCAATGGGGTTCAGTAAAAAGCCCTGTGATGTTCAACCTGCACTGCAAATAGCAGGGGAATTCACCAGTTTGTAATAAACATACGTTCTGTAATAGACATGCACTGAAAAGGCCTAGAAGAAAATGACCTGACGGCTGTGAGGACAACTTGTACCCAGACTATGGTCTCTAAATGCCATTTCCCACTGAAAGAACCCAAGTTCCTTCACATTATGGCTGTTTCTACAAACTCAGAGCAATGGAGAGCAGAAATGGTGGTTGCCAGACCAGGCTGGGAAAAGCGGAGAGGCGTTGGACAGAGGGCGCACCCTTCCAGCTATGAGAAAAGTAAGTTCTGGGGACCGAATGCAGCAAACAGCACCGTACGAAATATTTCAAAGTTGTTGAGAACAGATCTTCAAAGTTGTCACCACACACTCACAAAAAGGTGATTCATGTGACGGGAAAGAGGTAACTAACCTTACTATAGTAAGCCCAGCCATTGTTAGTATAATGAGAACGGTTTGCATGACATCGATGTAACCCGGCAGCCAAGGAGAGTAGGCTGGAGTGCACATGTGTGAACAATGACGACTTCACTGTGCTAGTCAGTGGGGGCGGTAGATGCCCTAGAGTGAGCACGTGCACTGTGTGGTCACCACATTCAAAATGACTGAGCAAGTGGAGCAATGGATCTGCATCAAATTTTGTGTGAAGCTTGAACGTTCCTCCATGGAGACTAGTCAGAAGATCCAAAAGGCCGCAGCTGTGGGCAACGGGTGACTGGCAGCTTCATCACGACAACACGTCTGCTCATGCATCACGTCTCGTGCAGAGTTTTTGTGAAACATCAAATCACCAAGTCACTCAGCCCCCCTACAGCCCAGATTTGGTGCCCTGCAATTTCTGGCTCTTCCCAAAACTAAAATCACCTTTGAAAAGGAAGAGATTTCAGACTGTCGATGAGATTCAGGAAAATATGATGGGGCAGCTGATGGCGACTGGGAGAACTACGTGAGGTCCCAAGGTGCCTACTTTGAAGGGGACTGAGGCATCACTGTCCTGTGTACAAGGTTTCTTGTACCTTGTATCCTCTTCAATAAACATCTCTATTTTTCATATTACATGGCTGGACACCTTCTGGACAGACCTCATATACATATATCAAATCATCACGTTGCACACCTTAAACTTACATGTGTTATATGTCAATTCTGTCTCATTAAAGCTACTCTGCCCCCCCCCCCCCCGGCTGTCCCCAAGGAAATGCTCCCGGTGAGCCCGGGGCATCTCCTCATACTCGGAAGCACGGAAACTACCAAAAATACTGGAGGGCATGTACCTCAATAAACCAGACTGGAAAACAAAGACAAAACTACTGGGGTCCTCTCAAGACGGGGGAGAATTTGAACGTAAACATGTAATAACTGCAAGAATCAAAATGCAGCCCTGGCCAGTGTGGCTCAGTTAGTTGGAGCATCAAACTGATGGTCGAGGGTTCAATTCCCTGTCAGCACACGTGCCTAGGTGGTGGCTTCGGTCCCCAGTTGGGATGCATGTGAGAGGCAACCGATCGATGTTTCTCTCCTCCTCTCTCTCCCTCCTTTCCCCTCCCTCTAAAATCAATAAGCATGTCCTCGGGTGAGAATTTAAAACAAAAAGAATAGAAGTGCATCAGGTATTTTAAAAGCCATTAATTCATAATGACAGAAACAAAATCAGTGCTTATCTTTGGAGGATGCTAGAGAACCAACTCATTATTTTGGAAACTGGTACATAAGGGGGAGAAATTAAGTATATACTCTGTTTTTCCTATATAAATTTTACATGATAGCTACATAACTAATGTCGTGCTTCGCTCTAGAGGCATTTCGATTGGCAGGTGGAGAAGGAATGATTCCAACCTCACCAGTCTGCAACCTCTGACGAAATAATGCGTCCAGCCAGGCAATGACCCCCAGGGCCGGTAACAGAAAGAGAGAGATGAGCGTGTATGCAGACATTTTACAACCACTGGTGAAAGTACACATCCCACCTATGAACTATCCCTGCCAAAAAGACGTGAAGCGGAGTCTGATCAAACTTCCAAAGCGGCAATTCTCCGAGTGTATGTACAATTCACTGTATATGTACAATTCACTGTATTGTACATATGAAAATAATACAACTGATACAATATTGTATACCAACTCTACACTTTAAGGAAACCAGCATGTTTCAGTGCAGCCTCAAGGAAGAACAGTTATCTGAACGGGCTGTTAAAACACTTCTCTCTTACCCAACTACATTTCTTAGCTCGGACCTGCAATCCCCGGGGAAATCCTTGCCTCCTTCTCACAGAACCTGTGAGACCCAACCATTTTCCTATTAATACTAAGACATCATTTGCCTTTTCTATGGTGCTTACATTTGTACTAATAGCACAAAAGCAATGGTGGGTAAAACTGCTAGCCCCTTGGGGAAAAAACAAGAAGAAAAAGCCCCCACGAAACTGCCAGTCTCTTAGCATGAATCAAGAAGAGGCACCAGATATACTAGCAGTGGTACTAGCAGCTACTGCATTCTTCATGAGCACGGACTCCATGAAAAAAAAAAAAGTAACAAAAATTCCTTCAGGAATGTCCTTGATGAAGTAGTAAAAAGTATTAGTTATATTCAAGTTCGACCTTCAGAATGTACATCTTTTCAAGAGCATCTGTGATAAACGGTGACGGCACCAAGTGCTTCTGCTGCAGACCCAAGTCCGGCGGCTGCCCTGCAGCAGAAGCACTCGTGCAAATGAGCTGCCCGCTAACCTAGCTGCTGTTTGCATGGAACACCATTTTTACTTAAAAGAGGGACTAACAAACTGCGGTTATTCAGACCTGAATCCTGGCAGGCATTTGCACAAAAATGAGTTGAGGTTGTCACTTCAAGAAAAACAACAGAGTATTTGCCAGTGATGAGATTCAAACTTTCAAACAAAAACGAGAACTTTGGAATTCTACCACTGTGAGCTGGACAGCCTTGCTCAGAAATATTTCTGATGAGACTGGTGGTAACTTCAAGGAATGTGATTGTTTTTAATATCATAGAATGAAATACGCCAACATTTGGAAGATCTACGCTCTCATATGTAACTCGGGGAACCAATGTTGTCCAAAAGACCAAAGTCATGTGTGAGTGAAAGTTCACTCAAAGTGCAAGACTCGCAAATCCAAACCACCGCGAGATACTACTTCACACTAGGCTGGTGGGCTATTATCAGAAAAGTAGACAAGTAACAAATGTCGGTGAGGAGGCGAAGAGCAGGGACCCCTTGTGCACTGTTGGTGGGACCACCACAGCAAGCAGTACGGAGATCCCTCAGCAAAGCAAAAACGGATATACCATAGGACACAGCAATTCCACTTCTGGGTACTTATCTGAAGAAAATGAAAACACAAGTTCAAAAAGATACATGCACCCTGTGTTCACTGCAGCACTATTTACAGTAGCCGATATGCAGAAGCAAACTTGATAGATGAATGGACAAAGATGTAGTGTGTGTATATACATAACACACACACACAATGAAACATTACACGGCAACAAAAAAGAATAAAATCTTGCCATTTGCAACAACACAGATGGATCTAGAGGGTATTATACTAAGTGAAGTTGGGCAGAGAAAGACAAATATTACACTGTTTCACTTATATGTGAGAAAATGAAAACAAAACAAAACAAAGACTCAGAAACAGAGATCAAAGGGCTGGGTACCAGGAGGGAGGGAGTGGGGGTGGGGAAAACGGTGAAGGGGATGCAGTTCATCTTACTGTGGTGCTGCTGCAGGGGGGCAGATGACCACCAGAATTAGTGAGGGGACCACACTTTAAGGCATCAAAATGTCAAATCGCTGTATTGTACACATGAAAATAATACAACTGATACAATATTGTATACCAACTCTACACTTTAAGGAAACCAGCAGGTTTCAGTGCAGCCTCAAGGAAGAACGGTTATCTGAACAGGCTGTTAAAACACTTCTCTCTTACCCAACTACATTTCTTAGCTCGGACTTTCTCCTATCTTCAACCAAAATGTGTTACAACGGCCTGGGTGACAGAAGCAGGTATGATCACACGTTAAACACTACAAATTTGAAGAAAATGTAATTAATGCCAGTCTTCTCACTCACTTTTTTTTTGTGTGGCAAAATATGGTTATTTTTCTTAAAAATATGTTACTTATATTAATGTGTAATGGGTTTATTATTTTTAAGTGAATTGATAAAATTAAAAAATTTTCTGTTTCAATTTCAAATTCAGTAAATATCAACAGCTATAACCCTCCTGCCATACCAAAGTTGCTAGGTCCCCAATAACATTTAAAAATCTGAAGGGGTCTGAGATCTCCTATTCTAGATCAAACTGCCAATCTACAGGAAATTCAAAACACATATTAAACAGATCACTTAGATGCAATTAGTAATAGAATGTGGGAAACTGTACGGGACAATAATTGATTTCTTCAATAATATAAAAAAAATCAGGTGTGGGTGCAGGGCATTAAGGGGGGACCTACAGATTAAAAGCAATTCAAGAGATCTATCAAACAACTCTGGTGTATGAATTTTCTTTGGACCCTAATTCAAACAAAGTAGGCTGGCCTGTTAGCTCAGTTGGTTAGAGTGTGCGGCGCTGATCCAAACAAACTGTAAACAAACAAACACAAAATAACCCATGAAGTATGAGATGATGGGAAAAATTGAACACTGACATGGCAGGCATTTTATGGCATTAAAGAATCATTATTAATTTGTAAAGGTATGATAAAGACACTGTGGTTTGTTTGGTTTGTTGACGCTTCACGGATTTGCGTGTCGTTCGTGCATGGGGGCCATGCTTCTTCTCCGTATCGTTCCAGTGTTAGTACATGTGCTGCCGAAGCGAGCACTGTGGTTATGTTTTTAAAAGGGATCTTTATAGGTACAAATGAAAATATTTAGAAACAAAACATGCCCGGGAATTTTTTTCCAGAATAATCGAGTGGTGGAAACATCAGAAGTGGGAGGCTGGTTATGAGTTGCTGGTTGTCCGAGTTGAACAACGGAAACTTTTTCAGATTCTATCTTAACCAATGGGGGCTGGGATACTAAAGAACATACACTGATTTTTAAAATTTCGTTTTGAAACTAAAGGGCCACAAACTCAGAGACAGAACGTTCTGGGGGTACGGTATTTCTCTTGTTTTTATAAGATGGCAGGTCAAGTTTCGGGCTGTTGATACCAAGGTTCCCACAAAACATCACGCTGAATCCTTGAGAGCATTAAGTTAAACACGTGTAAACAAAGCATCTCTGCTATCATAGCAACAACGATACTAAATTATAAATAAGGTAATAATAATTCTCATCTCCTAGCAAATGTCTAATTTCTAAAGTGTAGAACCAAAAGCAAAAGGGGCAACCTAAGAAAAAATGAGTAGCTGATTATGTCCTAATATTTCAGTAAAGCTTTTCCACGAAAACCCACTGATATCTCGACTTTGCAGTCATATCTGGGGCCCTGAGCTAGGAAAGAATGATTAAGACAAAGTTACATAAAACCAGAGGCTATCACCCTCCTGGGGAAAACTTGGGGCTAAAATTTATCCTTCCTTACCACTCAAAGCTATGAATGGCTGATAATTCTGTAAGTACCCAGGGAATCCAATCAATCAGTCTTGTTGAGGTTATGTACTTGTATCAACTTAATTCTGAAATTAATAGTCTAATGGTATTATATCCTGATGGGCCCATTATAACACAACTTCAGAGAGATATTAGGTTATTAGCTCTTTGGGCTACATTAGAATTCTATTAGTCATTTCTCTGATTTGCAAAGGAAAAATCTCCAAAGAACACTGCATGTTTCCAGGAAAAACAAGGGCACACTGGCACCCACTGGCTTCGCAGGAAGGGCTCGCCTTCCGCCCGCTGCCCCTTCCTCACGCGCCCACCCAAACCCACCCACCCAAACCCACGCTCCAAGCACACGTCTCGGCAGCCCCCTGCGCCCCACATTCCTCAGCACCTCCACGGACACACTTCCCTCTCAGCCCAGCGTGCCCTTTGCCTCCTTCTCTAGCTCGAGAATTCCTCTTCATCTTTCAAAACACCCTTCAAATGAGACTTCTGGGTGCCTCCTTCCCTGGGGTTCTTCCTGAAGTTCTTGCTCCCTCTCCTGGGCTTCTACAGGGCTTTTTACATGCAGTTTACAAACAGTTTACCAAACTAGCCTAGAGAGAGGCTGTAGCAGTGTAGGTGGTTAAGAGGATGGGCGCTGGAGCCAACTGCTTTGGTTCAAATCCGTGCTGTGCCGCTTATTTTCTGTATAATCTGAATCGATTATTTAGCCCCTTTAACCCTCAGTTTCCTCATCCATAAAATGGCAATAATAACATTACCTACTTTGTGGGATGACTGTGAGGACTGAGCTAATATACATAAAGGACTTAGACCAATGCCTAGCACACAGTATATTCTCAATAAATGTAAGCTATTATTATTAGCACAATGCATCAAAATTATTTGATCGTCTTTTCCGCTATGCTATGAACTCTCTCTGGGTAGTGACTGCCTTTGTTGAATTAATTCAGAGACTATGAGTATAGCTGAAAAATAGTGTACTAACTTTAAGTTGGGCAATTGCCAGGTGTCAGGGACACAAGCATGAGACAGGAAGTCCCAGCGGTGAAGGACCTTGCCGGCCCCCTGCTCACACAAAGTGCACACCGAGGACTTCGATGAACAGACTGAATTAGCATGTGGGGGCCGGCTACTCTCGACTCTCTTTATAGAGTGAGTCATAAGAAATCTGGAAACAGCTTCGTCTGAATAAATAGGAAACTTACTCTAAAACCTAAGGATACCAAGAGCTAATAACCAACAACACTTGGGAAGTTAGAAACATTGAAAAGTATGGTGCTTCATCTTAGATCTGCAGACGCTCTGGCTAACCCTAGGCTGAAACCAGGGCAATCTAAGGAGTATTTTATAAAACTGTTTTTTTTTTAAACTTAAGCAAGTAATATATTAATATAGTCATACATTCTCACTGTAAAAACAGCTAAAACTAAAGTTCCTGTCCTCAAAGGTAATGACTCTTAAGTTATTGTACATCCTTTTTTTAATCCATGCAGTTACATGTGTGGCTACACACAGAAATGTGTAGCATGGTTTGTGGCTTTTTAAAAATTTACACAAAGGATATCACACTGTCTGCACTATTTTATCACTATTATATAATAAATTCTTATACGCACACGGATATTGTTCTCGACTCTATTTTTTGTACCGTTGGTCTGCGTTGTATTTTTGTGCCAATACCACCATGCCTGCACTACTGTGGTTTTGTAGGTTTTTAAATTTCACGTATACATGGATGCCAGAGAGAGAAAGAAACATCGATGTGAAAGAAACACTGATTGGCTGCCTCCCACACACACCCCAACCAGGGACCTAATCTGTAACCCGGTTTGACCCCGGATGGAGAACCAGGACCTACCAGCTCACCAGGCAGTGCTCCAACCACCTGAGCCACACCGGCCAGGCAGTTTTGTGAGTTTCGACATCTGGAAATTAGCCCGACCTCATTGTTCTTCTTGTTCAAAAATATCTTGGGTATTTTTAAGCATTTACACTTCCATATAGGAAGAAATTAGGGCATAATGTTTACATATATATGTACCTAGGCTTACAAATGTGATGATACAAAATTATAAATAATAACATTTTTTTTTCATTTGAACATTCTTCTGTCTATAATGGACACTCTCTCCCTCTTTCCTCTAGGAGAGTTTATTGGTACCTTCCTTTATGAAGGTGATCAAATCTGCTAAATGTCAGGCAAGTCCTTTCAAAGAACAAACTTTTGGTTCCATTGATTAATTTTTTGTTTTCTATTTCACTAAATTCTGCTTTTATCTTTTTTTAAAAGATTTTATTTATTTATCTTTAGAGGGGAAGGAAAGGAGAGAGGGAGAGAAATATCAATGTATGGTTGCCTCTCATGAGTCCCCTGCTGGGAACTGGCCTGCAACCCAGGCATGTGACCTGACTGGGAATCGAACCACAATCCTCTGGTTCACAGGCGCGAGCTCAATCCGCTGAGCTACACCAGCCAGGGCCCTATCCTCTTTTATCTTAATTACGACTTTTGTTGTATTCTAAAAATAGAGTACATTTAAGGCTACAAATCTTCCTCTGAATACCATTTTTGCTGCATCCCACAGGTCAGAATTATTGGGATCAGAATTTTAGTTTTATAATTCACTTCTAAATAGATTTAAAATTTCTACTTTGATTTTATCTTTAAAGCAAGAATTATTTAGAGATATACTTAGAGATATTTAGATGGATAAAGCAACTCTGGCTACTTTGTATTACTGCTAATTTCTAATTTTATTGTATAACTGTCAGTGAATGTGGTTTGTATGATTTCTGTGTTGAGATTGCTTAAGAACCTTAAGACACATATTTTAAAATATTCATGAATGTTTGAAAAGTGTTCAACCTTGTTAATTCTATTAGTCTTGTTTTTGTCTAACTGAAAGTTCACTTTTTGAGAAGAATATTTAAGTCTTCAACTATGACAGTTTTCTCATTACTATTTCTTCATATTTCCATCAGTTTTTGGATAAAAACTGGGTCAAATATGCCTTTTAGCAATATATACCTCTCTTCCAACACAATATTTGTTTTTCCTGGATTCTATTTCATTTTACATTAAGATTGTTTCACCTACTTTTTTTAGTATTTGCGTAGTGTATCTTCCCCATTCCTCTGTTGTAAGTATTCAGTGGTATTTTATTCCTCTTATGAACAGTATTTAGCTGGATTTTGACAGCTATTTTCATCCAGAGTCTCTGCCTTTCACCAGGAGATTTTAACGCACTCACATGGACGGTGATTGCCGACGCGTCTGCGTGTGAACTGCTACCCTGTGCGCTGCTCTGCTGCGGCCACAGGGACGTCCCTCACCTGCACCCACACGCCCGGCTTCAGAGTCTTTGCTGTGCTTGCTGGTCCCTCCACCTTCCTCCCGCGCCTTTGCTCCCTCTTCGTTCAGGTCTTAGCCAAACTCTCATTCCTCTGCAAGGCCTTCTCTCACGCTCTCTCTCCACTGTGCTTTTTTTCTTTAAGTTACTATTACCCGAACTGATACGTGACCTGACTCAAAGCCTGCTTCGCTCCCCACGCTTCAGCTCCGTAGAGCACAAAGCTTGTTTGTCTGCCTTATCGCTCTCAGCCCCCCCACCACCGCAGGCTAAAACCGTACAGTGTGTTTTTGGAACATACAAGAGTCAAAGTACATTCAAATTTACAGCTTTTTGTGGCTTTGGAAATGGCAAAATGGGAGGGTCCAAATTCTCACAAAAGTAGCACTCATTTCCAAGAATGCAATCTGTTGATAGAATATAAAATACTGGTTTTAGAAAATACTGTGTTCTCAAGCACCTCTTATTTACCTTTAATCACTATAAATACCAAACATTAAAGGAAATCTATGTTGCATTTTCAACTTGGCAAGTGAGGCAATTCTGTTTTAGAAATGCAACAAGTATTGAGTTTCATGTGAAAATATAAAGATTTCTGTTAGCATTACATCCTGCACTCCTGATTAAATTACTCTCTATTTGCCATTTTGGGCAAAAAGTCTATTTCAAAATAGCAACTGCCTTCACAGGAAGAAAGAGAACATCTTTTCCGTAATTAAATGCTGCCTATCGGGAAGGCAGGAAGTCTCTGTGAGAGACCGCCAAGGGGAACGTGTCGGCTGGTCTGATGCACACCCTTCTTTATACTTCCTGAGATCACTCAGAGTACTTTCCTCACTCAGTGGACTGGCTCTTGCTTTGCCAGATGTCATTTACAAATGTGCATTCTCCTTATCTGATACCTCCAACAGGAGTATAGGAGACTCAAGGGGGGAGTAAAAAGAAACTTTTAAAATCATGCAAACATTAATATACCATAAATACATCCTTATCTCTGGATTTCTACAGCACCTAATTGAAAAGAAGAAACCTACATGACTGTGGTGGGTTAGAATCATTATAAGCAGGTTAGAAAAGATTACTGAGCACTATCTGTGTCCAGAGATTCCGACCCACTGTGCTGGGGGTGAGGCCCTACAAACTCCTTAACTCGTTATTTTAAGTTGCTATTCCGTTCTCTCTCCCCCACACCTGCTTCCTCCCCACCTCTCTCTCTCTCTCTCTCTTTCTCCTTATGCCCCTACCCGACCACTCTCCCTTTCCTGTTTTATAGTTTCTACCACTATCTGACCCAGTAAATATTTTATTCCTTATTGTCCCTCTTCTCGAATGAAACCTCCATGAGAGATGAATTTTCAGCTGTTCTAGTCATTACTAAATTCCCAGAAAAGTGTCCAGCTCACACAGGCACTCAGAAAACTAATAAATAAATGAGTGAACAAATGGATAGTAGTAACTGATGATGATGAATAAACGAATGAATGAACAAATAGATGCTAAAACAAATTAAACTTGAATTCTAACATGGGTTCAGTGACTAACCAGTTAAATAGCCCCAAGGGAGCTATTTCTGGTCCTCAAAAGATCTCTATCATTAGCTGTATAACGATGACATTGCCCCGCTCTACAAAGCAGAAATTATGTTATGGAAGAATGACATCACTTCCTCTAAGCCAGTCAGTAGGATAGTGGAAAACCAGAACTGGAAAGGCCTCTCTCTCAGAATCCAAATATAACGCCTGAACTAAGGCGTTATAATCAATAAAAAATTATAATAGAATTTAAGAATGTACATTTTTTAAAAGAATATAAAAATTAAATACTCCTAAACAGAAGCTCCTTCTCTAAAATTATTCAGAAAAGGAATGCACATTCCTTAGCTTACTTTTTCTTTCCAAATGTTTTATTGCCTCTGCTCATTAAATCTCTGTGAACACTAACAAGTGTCTGTGGCCCAGAGAGAGAATGTTCCACAGCAGAGAGGAAACGACACGCCCAGTTTTTCATTAGAAACTGTGGAACAACTGAATATTCATCCTCGCCAGAATTCAGAATGACCCTCTCGGAGACCCTGCAATTAGGATAATGCTGAGCAAAACAACAACGACACTGCAGAACAGCTTTCAACACCCTCCAGCCTAATTCTGAAGGGCAAACTCACAGTCTCCAACAAACTCTTACAGTGTGTTTGCAGCTGATGACCAAATATTTCTTTTTCCATTAACCACGTCAAACTCAACACAAGGAAAATGGCAAGTGAATAAAGGATTTTTAAAGTGAAAAAGATGCCATTCATTGGGAGAACCAGAACTGCTCAAGCGTCAGTCGAAATGCTGTGTCAAATCCATGAGGCCCTTGGCCCAGGAGCGGCTTCTGGGCGGGGTTCAAGGAGACCTGGACCACACGGGAAACACCCAGGCACTCTCTGTGAGAGGACAGGACTGGAGGTGGGATGTTTCAAGTAGCTTTCTCAGCAGACACGGCCATTTAGTTGCGGCACTACTTACAAACTCATAGTCTCCGTCCTGGGGCACTTTCCAGTCTGAAGAGTTCTTCAGTGGGCCCGGGGCACTCTTGCCAAAGCTGTTGATCTGATTCTCCTTCTCTTTTTGTTCAAAGTATTCAAGGAAAGATGGTTTTGCAGGCTGCATGGTCTCATCCCTTCCTGAAAATCAGAAAAAATAAAAGGTGAAATACATCTTAGATTTCAGATAAGTGTAATAAATAGATCTATCTCCATCCAGGTGGGGGACAGCCTCTGGATCTGTGGCCTTTTGTTGGATGAGGACTTCTTCAAAAATCTAATGAAAACTATAAAAAAGGGTACAAATACTCTCTGAAAATACATCTCATACAATTTCAGAGGATTCACAGCCCACCTAAAATACATGCAAAGGTTTCCTCAGGGAGCCTTCTCTAAGGGGAAAGACTAGGGTGATACAGTGACTCCCAGTAAGGGGCAAAGAGTACTTTTTGGATCTCCTACAGCAAACAGGTCCTGTAATATTAGACTGCAAATAGAAGAGCAAACAAAATATTTACTAATCATTTACATACACAATATTCTCTACAGTCACTGCAGTAGGGAAGGGGTGTTTAGTATGATTCAGTAGAGTGACTTCTCTCGATAATCTCAGCTGGATTAATGGGAAAATATGCATAAAATGAGTAAATCAAATCTACTCTATGAGACAGTATATAATTTTAACCTTTATTGAATTTTACTCCATTACCACTTAGCCCCTTACACCCCCTCACCGAAGCAATTACCACACTGTTGTCCATGTCCATGAGTTCTCTTCCCTTTTTGCTCAATCCCTCCCTTCCCCTTCCCCCGCCACTAGCTGTCATCCTGTTCTCCATCTATGAGTCTGTCCCCATTTTCCTTGTTGGTTCAGTTGGTTCATTAGATTCCACATACGAATGCAACCATATGGTATTTGTCATTCTCTGACTGGCTTATTTCACTTAGCATAGTGTTCTCCAGGTCCATCCACAATGTCACAAAGAGTAAAACTTTCTTCTTTTTTATAACTGAGTAGTATTCCATTGTTTAAATGTCCCATAGTTGTTTTATCCACTCAATTCCTGATGGACACTTGGGCTGCTTTCATATCTTGGCAATTTTAAGTAACACTGCAATAAATGTAGGGCTGCTTATGTTCTTCTGAATTAGTGTTATGGGTTTCTTTGGATATATTCCCAGAAGTGGGATTGCTGGTTCAAAAGGCAGACCCATTTTGAATTTTTTGAGGTATCTCCATACTGCTTTCCACAGTGGCTGAAATGTAATACGATTTTAAAATACCATTTACATCACAACCAATCCTTGAAGCTGACTGGTCTGGGTAAGTCCCTCCCATTGACCTGCTAATAGCAACCAAGGCTCAAGTACAAGAGGAGGGTGTACTTAGCCCACATGAAGGGTATACCTCGAGTACCCAGCTTGGTTGATAGGGGAGGCTGTGCCACTGGACTCTATAGGACACCTACTACATTAGGCTATGCTACCAGGACAGGGAGTCACAGCAGCTCTACCCAATACATAGAAACAAACACAGGGAGGCTGCCAAAACGAGCAGACAAAGACACATGGCCCAAATGATAGAACAGAACAAAACTCCAGAAAAAGAACAAAATGGAGATAAGCAATCTATCAGATACAGAGTTCAAAACACAAGTTGTAAGAATGCACAAGGAACTTAGTGAGGACCTCAACAGCATAAAAAAATCCAGTCAGAAATGAAGGATACACTAATTAAAATAAGGAACAATTTATAGGGAAACAACAGTAGAATGAATGAAGCCAAGAATCAAATCAATAATTTGGAACATTTGAAGGAAAAAACAACCAATTAGAGCAACAAGGAAAAAAAAAGAATCCAAAAAAGCCAGGATAGTGTAAGCAGACTCTGGGACAACTTCAAGAGGTCCAACATTCGAATCATAGGGGTGTCAGAAGGAGAATAGAAAGAGCAAGAAGTTAGAAATCTATTTGAAAAAATAATGAAAGAAAACTTCCCTAATTTGGTGAAGGAAATAGACATCCAAGCCCACATAGCTCAGAGAGTTCCAAATAAGACAGTCGCAAAGAGGCCCATTCCAAGACACATCATAATTAAAATGCCAAAGGTTAAAGACAAAGACAGAATCTTAAAAGCAGCAAGAAAAAAGCAGTTAGTTACCTACAGGGGAGTTCCCATAGCACTGTCAGCTGATTCCTCAAAAGAAACTTTGCAGGCAAGAAGGGATTAGCAAGAAATATTAAAAAATCATGAAAAGCAGGGACCTATAGCCAAGATTATCACCCAGCAAAGATATCACTTAGAACCAAAGGGCAGATAAAGAGCTTCTCAGACAAGAAAAAACTAAAGGAGCTCATCATCACCAAACCATTATTACATTATTACACGTTAGAGACTTAAGAAAAAGATCAAAACTATGAACAATAAAATGGTAATAAATACTTATCTATCAACAACTGAATCTATGAAAACAAACTAAGCAAACAACAGAGACAGAATCATGGATATGGAGAGCATTTTAATGGTTGTCAGATGGGAGGGGGATGTGAAGGAATGGGTGAAGAGGTGAGGGGATTGAGAAGTACAAACAGGTAGTTATAGAACAGCCACCTGGATGTAAAGTACAGTATAGGAAATGGAGTAGGCAAAGAACTTGTACACACGGCCCATGGACGTGAACAATGGTGCAGGGGTTGGCTGAGGGAGTGTGGGGTGGTGGGTGGAGGGGAGCCGTGGGGGGAAAAGTGGACAACTGTGATAGCATAATCAATAAAATACAATTAAAAAAATAAAATACCATTTACAAATGACATTAGGATAAAGTTAAGGGGGGAAATGTAATATGTTATATACACAGTATGATATAAATTCTATAAAATAATATACATAGAAAAAATAAAATGACTGAAAAAATATACAAAAATGTTAATAGGATTTGTCTCTGATAGTAGGATCATAGGTGATTTTATTGCTTCTTTTAAACATTTTTCTTTTTACTTTAAATAACTTTTTAATTCTTCAATTACAGGTTACATAAAATATTATACTAGTTTCAGGTACACGCCCAGTGATTAGACATTTGTTTAATATACGAAGTGGTACCTCGATAAATCTAGCGCCCACCTGACACCGTACGTAGGTCTTTTAAACATTTCTTAAAAAAAGACAGTACAGGTTAAGTAGGAATAGACAGCAGTGATCACACAAGTTGCGTGGGCCCAGAAGATGGGAGAATTCTTTGAGCTGGAGAGCTCAGAAGGACACTCTCAGGCCGGACCTCGAACCGTCCCCCAGAAAAGCATCAGCAGTCACGCAGCAGGGCGGGTAGGTAACGAGCAGTTACCATACGAGAGCAGGAGATGGCAGCTACTAGTTACGACTAGCAGCGATATAGCAAAAAGAGTAATTTCACCTGGCATGACCGAAAAACCAGCTCATCGGACCTATTTCACAGGTTGAAGTGGCTTTGGCTTGTGCTCAGGGGTCTAATACTGGAAAGTATAGCTTTTTTTGGTGCTTTCCATGACCCTGTAGGTCCGTATGGCCCTTCTTCCAGAAACCAGAGAAAAAGACAGACGGTTCAGAGGCTTAAGAAATGGGTGGGCTACGCATGGTGCCAGGGGGTACTAGAAATATTTGGGGAGAGAACTTCTTCGGTTATATAAATGACTAAACACTATGCTGTAAACCTCAAACTAATACAAAATAATACTGAATGTAAACTGTAATTGAAAAAGGAAATTAAAAAAAAAGATTACTTTGGTTTCATCCTATTTCTGAGCATGGTTCTGTGATATCCAAATAGCATTTCAATAAATTCACATTTACATAAAAAAGAAGGGGCAGGAGATGGGGAAGGGACTAGGAGATAAGGAACAGCAAGGGTCTGTCCCCTGGCACCCGATCCCTGCAATCTAATCTCCTGACCCGGCCTTGTCCAGTTTCACGCCAGCAGCCCAGCTGCCACGCAGACATTTGTCATTGTACTATCTCCGTTGCTAAATTTAACAGCAGCCAACCCCAGATTTGCCCACTTCCAGCTGTGGCCAGTGGCTCACTTCACTGTTGGTTGCCTACTCCATTATCAGGAATTACACACAAGAGTTGCTAAGACCAGTTGACAACTGTATTGAATGGGCATTTTGTCTTTCAGAGCTTACGGTTTAATGTGTAAGCTAAATTTAAGGTATTATTTCATCGCATAGTTCTGAAGGAACCACAGCAAAATAAAACTTGGGAAAATGGGGGTGTTTGGGACTTGCTAACAAACCAGGAAGCTGAGTCCTTCCGATCGGCGCCCTTCCCCGGGCCCACTGACCCTGCAGCAGGCCTACACGTGGTCCGACCCAGGGACGGGGAGTGTGTTTAGAGAGCCTCCCTGAGCCCAGCAACTGCTGACATGTGAGGAATGCAGTGTCTTTGACACAAGACACTAGATGCCTCGATCAGCTGAACAGAACAGGAAGTCTGGAAACAATAGAGAAGGCCCGGATGGGCACCCAAACAACTGGAGAGCTGTTCGGAAAAAGATTAAACTGGAGCCACGCCTCATACCTTACACTAGGAGAACTCCAGAAGGAGGGAGCTCTCGTTGTCAAAATGAAAACCATAAGTACTGGAAGAAAGCATGTGTGAATCCATTTAAGACCTGGGTGTGGAAAAGGCTTTCAAACTATGGCAAAGACCCAGATGCAATAAAAAAGGGATGGATGAAAACCTTTTGTGTGAAGAAAACACACATTTTTAAAATTAATAAGCACACACGCACAATAAGCCAAGATAAATAGTGAACTGGAAGAAAACATTTACCGCAAATACCGTAATTTTTAAAAATTTTATTTTTAAGAAAATTTAGGAGTTCTTTATATATATGAGGCAGATAAGCTCCTAAAATACATAAAGAATCCTGAAAATCAAGGAAGAGAAGACCAAGAGAAGAGAAAAAGGGCTGAAGACATGAAAAGACAGTATGTACACAGATACCCAATTAGCCCTTAAACCTGAAAAAAAAAAGCTTAGGTTCACAGGTAACCAAAGAAACAAAACTACTTAAGAGATGCAAGTGTTTACATTTCAGATGGGCAAAAATTCGAAAGCTTGACCGCTCTGTTTGTTGGCTGGGGTGTGGGGACATGCGCTG